TGGAGAATGACTAGAGCATGTGGATTTGAATCGGCGAGGAATGAATGATCGAGAAGGTCAGCTGTGATGGTACCCTGTTTGATTGTCAAAGCCAGCTGTGAATATGTCAACGTCTATTGTCCGAATGCTGTAAGTGGATTCACCTGTGATTTGTGTATTGAGCTAACGTGTAAATAAACTCGTGAAATGTGCCGCTGGTGTTAACCGTTGTTAGACGTTGTGTGACCGTGAAGAGGATCATGTCTGCTTTGATTGAGTTGTGAACCTCTAGACATTAGAGCCAGTGTTAACTCTGCACCACAGATAGCCAGTGTGGAGGAGACACAAAAGGGCAGTCATTACAAGGGTTATGTTATGTTAATGATGCCAAATTTAAACAAAGAAGGCACCAACGGCAGACTACAGTTTACAGTTTTACATATTTCACCGCATCTCTTTGGAATCATACTTTATTTTATTATCCTGTTATATGTCATTATATGTCAAATAGCATATTTAAGTCCTATATTCCATTCTTGGTCTTGAAGTCCTCTTTCATGTAATTTTGTGTTTTCTTGTTTGTAAAAGCAACCTTGTCTATTCATGCTATGAATTGATGAAGGTTTTCTGGCCATAGAATTCACATATTGTTGTGATTGAGAAAATGTAAAGTCAATTAGTTTTATTTTTCGTTTGGTTTGATATCTTTTTCATGATACTCCTGTTCTTGGCACCTTTCTGTCATTTCAGATGACAGTGCTATATTGTGCTACAGGGAGACATGGCAAACTGCGAGGGCCTGTCTGACATGCAAGAACCGTTCACATTAAAAGTTAAAGTTGAGATGATCAACTTCATTGCACCGAGTTTTATCCCATATGGCTCGGTCTCTCTCCGCAGAATGGCTAACAATCTGCCGAGAGCGTCGCACAACTGCACTCGTGAACTAAATGACAAAGCCGAGAAACGAACCCGAGACCTTCGAAGCGCGAGGCAAACGGCTTGAATACTTCGTCACGGAGACACTCCCCCTCCCCCCGAAAAAGTCCCACAAAGCAAACAAACTGCAGCTTCAGTCTAAAAACAAAGACCCTCTGAGCGCTATGCAAACAGTTTAACTACATCACCACAGAGACTCTGTGTCCTTATTTTCCTCAAGGGGTTGTAAAGGTCTATGATGTTTCCTTTTTCTGCTTCTATCTCAAATGCCAAGATGCCTGCAGATCCTAAGTTTGGAAGCTCAAATTCACATGGAGCCGGATTTTTTCGAACACGACCTTGGCTCCAGGGTTGACAACCCCATAAAAAGGTATCTGGTAAAGTCCTGGGAAGTAAAGGTAGCTGGTGTGTTGCTAATCATCTATCAAAATATGAGTCTAGCCTCCTACCCTCAATGTGCCACTGGCATGTAAAGGAACCTTACTTGAAATCATTGCATAATTCTAGAAGAGGATGAGGTCAACAGCATGAAGATAGACAGACACAAGACACTGAAGACACCTTGCATATGAAAATACACTTTTTCAGGTTCACTTTTAAAATGTAGACTGGCATGTTGTGTTGCAGTTTATACAGCAAGGCTGTGACACCTTTGCCTTTCAGCCCAACAACTCTGATTTGTAGCAAACCTCTAACTAGTTGCCTTCTATGGCATGCTTGTTTGGGAAGCAGAGGGTCCACCCTCCCCCCCCCCTTTTTTCCTAAAAACTGAGCCATGAAACCCTCATGTGGATGAAAACACACAAGATGTGGGAAATGGCAAGAAACTGATTCTTTTCAGTATGTTTTAACAGGTGTCACCAGCATATTCCTGGGGCTCTCACAGAAAGCAAACAATAGTAAAAACTGCACTGTACCCAGGATATCATAACAGGCAACTAAGGGTAGGGTTGTGCTTCAGATTGGCTACCTCATCCATAAAGCCCTATATCCACTACACACACACAAAACAATTTTTTCTTAGTGACATGGGGTCTACAACAATGCAATGACTAGCAGGCTTGCCTGTCTGCATGAAGATCATAGGTTTCAACCTCCTGGATTTTTATAAAAACTGAGCAAGACTACAATATCTTCTGCTTCTTTTTCTATTCCTATAGTTTCTCAGACTTCCAGAGAATTCAGAGTTTTTTAATAAAATTTGGAAAAAGGCCGATTTTTGAAGATTATTTTTTTTCAGAGCAAAACAGATTTATGTAGCTAAATTACCTGCTGTATTTTTTGCTGCAATGATAAGCTATCAAACGATGACTGCCTGAACAGCACAGGTGGAGGTGGTGGTGGTGGTGCAGGAGCAATAAATGGAGACTCTGAGACATGTTCGGATATGCAAGGCAAGTCAGGTTTCCTAGAGACAACTTCACTTTCACAGCCAGAGTCGTCTAGTGAAGCCGGCACAGGGGACACCGGAAGTGGCATATCTGCAGCATGAGTTGTGTCTCTTGGTTGCTGCTCCCTATCTGCAACTGATTATTTCAGAAAGCTTTGTATTTATCAACAGAAGAAATAAGATGTGTGTATGTGCAACAGATGAGACGGTTTAGCCATGTAACAAGAATGCCCTGATACCAACTGTTACACTCAGCCATGTTAAAGATAAACAGAACGAAAAATTAGGACTACGCAAAAGATAGAATAACAGAATCTTCTTCTTCTTCGCGTTCACAAACTGTAAACTCAGGGGGAAAGTTCTGGTTGTTCATCCAATTTTGGACTGCAAGTTCTTTTCCAGAACCTGAGTTTTGTGTGTGCATTTTTTTACAGATCCGACTCATTTGTATGCAGACTACTGGTTCCATGCCTCTCAGGCAAATGCACTCTGACTTTGAAGGAAGCTTAAAAATTAGTCAACTCTTACAACATGCTTTTGGGTAGCAATGAATATTTTTTTTTTTTTTGGCTTTTCTAGACATTGAATATATTCATCTGCTGCCCTAGACAATGAATATTTTCATCTGCTGCCCTAGACAATGAATATTTTCATCTGCTGCCCTAGACAATGAATATTTTCATCTGCTGTCCTAAACAATGAATATTTTCATCTGCTGCCCTAAACAATGAATATTTTCATCTGCTGCCCTAGACAATGAATATTTTCATCTGCTGCCCTAAACAATGAATATTTTCATCTGCTGCCCTAAACAATGAATATTTTCATCTGCTGCCCTAAACAATGAATATTTTCATCTGCTGCCCTAGACAATGAATATTTTCATCTGCTGCCCTAGACAATGAATATTTTCATCTGCTGCCCTAGACAATGAATATTTTCATCTGCTGCCCTAGACAATGAATATTTTCATCTGCTGCCCTAAACAATGAATATTTTCATCTGCTGCCCTAGACAATGAATATTTTCATCTGCTGCCCTAAACAATGAATATTTTCATCTGCTGCCCTAGACAATGAATATTTTCATCTGCTGACCTAGACAATGAATATTTTCATCTGCTGCCCTAAACAATGAATATTTTCATCTGCTGCCCTAAACAATGAATATTTTCATCTGCTGCCCTAAACAATGAATATTTTCATCTGCTGCCCTAGACAATGAATATTTTCATCTGCTGCCCTAAACAATGAATATTTTCATCTGCTGCCCTAAACAATGAATATTTTCATCTGCTGCCCTAGACAATGAATATTTTCATCTGCTGCCCTAGACAATGAATATTTTCATCTGCTGCCCTAAACAGTGAATATTTTCATCTGCTGTTCTAGACAATAAACATTTTCATCTGCTGTTCTAGACAATAAACATTTTCATCTGCTGTTCTACACAAGAAATATTTTCATCCCACATAAAAGGGTGAAGCCAAACATCCAGAAAATAATTTATAGGATAGAAAGTAAAAAGTGCATAAATACCTGTCACAGTTTTGATGAATGAAGATGACTCCTGCGCCATAACAAGCATTGCAATTTGTTTACGAAGTGCCGCCAACTCCTCTTCCATTTCCAGCAGCTTTCCTCTGGAAGTCAGGTCACCTGAGGTCACGCTGCAGTTAGATGAGGCACTGTGGAACTTTGGTGTTGAAGTTAGGGCCACAAAGTCTTGAAACTTGGAGTGAGCCAAAGAGGCAGTGTCTTCAAAAGCATCTTCACCTATGTCTTCATCTAAACAACCTCGCCTGAAAGATATTCGGTAATTTAAATAGAAAAAATAAACAAAACAAAACAATAAAATTTCCTTTTTTTTTTCCCTTTAAAATAAAAACCATGTAAGGAGAACCCTGTAAATGTGTTAGCCAAACAATATCCCAAATGAAGAACTGAGGAGGAAAACAAAAGTTTATTCCTGGCAAACGTTATCAATAAAAGAAGACTGAGATGGATTAGACATGTTTGCAGAACGCCTGATGACACTCTAGCTAGGAGAGCTCTCCAGTGGACTAATGATGTAAAAAAGATATATGAACAACATAAGAGATGGACAATAGAAAGGAAGATAAAGAGATGTGCAGAAAAGCAGCAGACTGGCAAAAACTGAGATCATTTGAGGGTGCCTTTTATGTCAATAATGACATCCATAGGATACAGATGGGAAAAAAGAAGTAAAAGAACCTGCTTCACATTATTGGTGCATCAGGTATGAATGGTTCCATCCCAAAACTTTTACAGGTCAACAGGGACTTGGTGGGTAGAATGCATGCACATGCTGTTGGTTTTGTTGTTGACCGCAGTCCACTTCCATTGTTACTTTTACTAGGGACTTTAATATGCATTCTCCATGGTTTTCACTGGCACGGGAAGGAAGCAATTATGGGTCGACCCTTTAGCTCTGAACTTTGATCTGCAACACACCTAACATTGACCCATTAGCTGTGAACTTGGACCTGTGACTCACATCTAACACTGACTAATTGGCTGTGAACTTGGACCTGCAACTCACATCTAACACTGACCCATTAGCTGTGAACTTGGACCTGCAACTCACATCTAACACTGACCCGTTAGTTGTGAACTTGGATCTGCAACTCCATCTAACACTGACCCATTAGCTGTGAACTTGGACCTGCAACTCACATCTAACACTGACCCACTAGTTGTGAACTTGGACCTGCAACTCACATCTAACACTGACCCACTAGTTGTGAACTTGGACCTGCAACTCACATCTAACACTGACCCCTTGACTGTGAACTTGGACCTTCTTCTCACATCTAAGAATGACCCATTAGTTGTGAACTTGGACATGCGACTCACATATGACATCCAAATGCGATGCTAAAAATGTATCCTACGAGTCTCTTCACCATCAAAATCATGTAGCAGTTACTTCGCTTGGTAAGGAAACAACCTACAATGGACAGCAGGTGACTTTGGACAACAGGGTGAACAAATCAAACTGATTTTAGTAGTTGAAGAGGGTTTCTGGGATTAACCACTCTTGGATTCACATACGGCAAGTGGCTTTATGAGTCACTGCGTATCAATCTGAAAAAAAAATTTGTCAAGAGAATCAACTTCACTGCACCGGGTATTATCCAATATGGCTCAGTGTCTCTCTCTGCAGAACAGCTAGCCACCTGCTGACAGCATTGTACAAAGCTTGAACAGTGTAGCTCCAGCAACGATACCAAGGACTACTTGATTCACCAAGTGGAAAGAGAAGGCTAATCACAGAGATGAAGGAGGGTGATATCTACAGCAATAAGCCTTAGAGGCTTGAAATACCAAAGAGGAAGAATATACTGGTCAGACTGGGAGTAAAATACCAACACACAATGATATGTTTCAGTTTCCAATGGACTCAGTTACCTGTATCTCACAATGTTACCGCCCAAGTCCTCTTCCACCATTTGGCTGATGCTGACAGATGAGAAAGCAGAGGCCAGACTCCCACAGCTAGCCCACCTGTCCAGTGCTGGCGGCCCAGTAACAGCCAGATCAGTCTATTAGAGAAACACAATGCACATGTGAGTTAATAATATTATAAGTATAAGTAAAGTGAAGTACCCTTTTTCACGCCTTTAGGCATATAGGGCTAGACCTATATTTTACAGACCAAACGGCAAAAGATGGGTGATGTGGTGAGCATCACGCCAGCCGCCTTTACTTCCCGGGACTGCACCTGATACCCACTCAAGGCTGGGTCGACCTGGGAGCCAAGATCATTTTTGAAAAAAGTCAGGCTCTGTCAGGGAGAGAACCCACGACCTTACGATCCGAGGCAAGCGTCTAGCCGCTCCGCCACGGCAACTCCCCAATATTATAAGTGCGGTGTCCATTATGAAAACTGCTGTGCACCCAGGGCTTTTTTTATGAATATTACATGGTGGGGTCTCAATCTCTTACATGGTGTAACATATAGACCGCCAGTCCCAAATGGAAGAATTAGGCATGGCAGAATGTTTAGCTTCCAAGTAGTTTCTGCTTCCAACAGCACTTTGCTAATGCAGTTTCCACATTTAGATGATAGTCTATAATTTCACTACCTTAGTTCCATGCTTGGTGCAGCCCTGGGAACTGTGTTTTTCATGTGAAATGCCTTTCACTTGTGCAGCGGTTGTGCCATGGTATTCAATAAAGCCGGTAGCCGGTTTACGTGTGAGCTGGTGTACCTGTCTACTTCCATCAAGGATAGACTGCATTTCTGGTGGCAACTGTTGGCTATGGCGCCTCTAGCAACTGTCATATGCATTTATTTACTGGGTGCATATATTTCTGGATTGTTTCAGGACTAATTGTTGGTTCATCAGTTTTTCAAATGGGACAGCGAGGGACATTTAATTTGATTTTCACTGGCACAGGAACAGAGCAAGTATGAGGAAACTTGATTGCAGTGAAGATGAAACCTCGACAGAGAATAAGACATGGTGTGATTCCAATACCACTATCTGAATGCCACAAAAACTTCCTTTTTTTTCAATATATCTATTTCTTCTAGAGTCTAAATGTGAGTCAATCAACTTCCTTGGTTAAATTCAAAAAACTATATTAAATACTGCTAACATATATGAGACATCTGGGGAGGGTTGGGGTGGGACTGGCTACCTTTCCCATTTGATTTTCTTTTAATTTAGTTTTAAGTTTTTTTGCTTGTAGCAAACATTAAAAAACAAGAGCAGTCCGCAGGAGTTAGCTAATTTGGAACAACTATGTATGTATGTATGTATGTATGTATGTATGTATGTATGTATGTATGTATGTATGTATGTATGTATGTATGTATGTATGTATGTATGTATGTATGTATGTATGTATGTATGTATGTATGTATTTGATTCAACCCCACCATATATATGACCTAGTACTGCGCAAAGACCCTTGAAACTGTCTAGAACTTTTATCCAAAACCTGAATGGACACATGTATACACTGATGGATAATTGGAGGATGATTTAAAAAACAACAGAGGAGCTGGATCAGTCATCATGCTGCAAGATTGGACAACAGTAGAAATCTCATGCGCCTCCGGAAAACTCTCAACAAACTTCAGAGCAAAGCAGCAAGCGATTACTGATTCAGCCAAAGGGCTTGAGGAAAGAAAAATTAAAAACAGCAAAACTGTTTTCCTTTGTGACTGCACGTCAGTCCTCCACGAGACAACATGGAAAGGGAACTGACCCTCCAGCTAAACAATCAAATCGTTCTCTAGCGGATCCCCGCTCACTGCGGCATACCAGGAAATGAGTTAGCAGACAGACTTGCTAAAAATAGAACAAAGAAGAAACAACACACCCATCCATTGTCATTACCAGAAATCAGAACACTTATCAAGGGAAAATACAAGGACTTGTGGACAAGACAAACTAACAGTAAACACCCACAAGACTCCATCAGCAGACTCAAGAGAAAGCAAACTTACAACATTTTTCCGTCTACGAACAGGAAACCGCATGCTCAACTACCATATGCATAAAATAGAAATTGTACAGTGTGCCTGTAAAATAGGACCACAAACACCTAAAAACATTTTGGAGACCTGCCCACTCTACCTATAACTTCGAAAAGACACCTGGCCTCAAGATCAAAGTGTGCAGAGTAAGCAATGGGGAACCATGAAGGACCTGCTACTGACGTGCGAGTTCATAGAGGCAACTCACTCAATGGTCTGATCTGAGCATACAAAACCGAACGCAAAGAAGAAAAAGAAGAAGACAGAGGATCCAAACAAAAAAGATCTGAAAACACTGCTTCTCTAATTACTATTATCAGTTTCTTTATTATCTGTATAGTTGTTGCTCATTTATACTGAATTATATGTGAGCACTAATTACACTTAAGTGTACTAATACTGAACAAAAAAATTAGCACCACCTACATAGATGTTCACAAAAGATCAACAATATGTGGGCACTATCTTCACAGATGCTTACTAAAGATTAACAATAAGTGCATGAATGTGAACTAATTCTGAACAATAAATGAACATAACTGCATGGATGTTCACTACAGTTGAACAATAATTGAACACTACCTGCATGACTGTACACTAATTCTAAACAGTAAGTTACACTACCTGCAATCTGAGCCTTGATCCTTTTGGAGTTGGCATAAAAGCTGCTAACCATCTCACAAGTGTCCTGCGATTCAATGGTCTGTGAGAATTTTCATTCAGTCGACGGCACTGTTCAATACATACAGCAGTCAGCAGGAAATGAGACAACTATGTGCATAACAACATAAAATAAAGAATTATACTTTATTAACTTCACTGTTTTGGTAGAGTTCAAATCGGCATTGAGAGAGATTTTATTTTAAACCCAGTTGGCTCCCAGTGTGACATTCACTAAATCTTCCTTTGAGTGCAGACTGTTAAAATAAAATATTTGTCTAGCACTAAAGGCATGAAGAGCCTAAGGAACGAAAGTGGTTTTCTTTGCCTTTTTTTTTTTTTTTTTTTTTTGCTTTCCATATCAGTATTTGTGATGATTTTTTTTTTATACATATGTTGCAGCCTAATTAAACACATAATGAGAGATACCTATAGATTCCATAACAATTTCTCCTTCCTTGCATTCACCGGCTGTAAACTATGGCAGAAAGTTCTGGTTGTTCATCCACCTCTGGACTTTCAACTTGCTCCAGAACTTGAGTGTTGCATGAAACAAATCTGCCTTACTTGTATGCAAACTGTTGGTTTCTTGCCTCTCAGGCAGATGCACTCCGACTTTGAAGGAAACACCCAATCAGTTGACTCTTACGACGTGCTTGTTGGGGAGGCAGTGGATCTATTCTTGTTTTCCCCACAATGGGGCCCCGGAACCCACACGGGGAATACCAGTTTCAATTAGGAACATAATACAGTTATGTGCTGATGTAAAATTAAACTAAAGGATCATTTTTATGCCAGTTGCGCATCAGACACATGATGCTACATTCAGAGTTTAAATTATAGCCCAACAGTACTGGGTGGGTCAACATATAATCGGCTGCTTTTTCCTTTCAGGACATTCTTGTTACCAATTTTAGGCTTGATTAACACTGGGGCCTAAGTCAATTTGATGCAGATTTGAACTCAAAGACCTTAAAGCAGGCAGGTGAGTGTCTAGTCACTATTCAACTGTAGTTGATGATGACATGTTGATGACAACTATAAATCAAGATACTGACATTTAAAAAAAACTGGTTCATAAACATCACCGGCTGTCACAGAGACAAAAATAAACGGGGAAAAAATAGTAACTGAACACTTTGGTAGTTGTATCACTGTCCTTAGTAACCATAGAAATCAGGTGTCTGAGAGAGACAACAGGAGTCATCTGAAGAGATAAAATCAGGAATTAGATCATACGAGTTAAAGTCAGCACAGAACTAATTCTAAATTACATACAAAAACAGCAAATTAAATGGTTTGCCCACTTGGAGAGAAGGCCTTCTCATGCTATACCAAACAAGGCATATACTTAAAGAGGAGAAGAATGTAGAGCCAGAGATAGACCAGGAACAAGATGGGAAGATATCAAACAAACTCTACAGCACCATGATGTGTCTATCCAAAGCGATAAAAGAAGATGTGAAAAAAAAAAAAGATCATTGTCCAAGTTTTTTGTTTACTGATGAAAACCGTCATTTTCGTGGGAAGCTGGTATGTTCTACTAATTTCGTTTGATTTTTTAAAGTAATGAAAGGCATAGTTCCTGGAACAAGGGGCAGGGGCCGAGTGACTAGACATTTAAGAAATTTCTGGCATGAAAATGCACAAATCTGGAGAGTGGCTATGAATGAAGAATCGTTTCGGCAGGTTCTGATTACAGGGTTGCTCTGCTAAAATCATGCTACATGATGATGTTACATTAATTCATATTTTGCAAGAAGAATTTCTCACTAAATGCATCTTGAGGACTAACAGACTCAAACAGTTGAAGCAGACAGACAGAAAGACAGATTACAGAGACAAAATTAACACATAAAAGTGCTGAATAGTAGCAGACCATCAGGCAGGCCAACAAACACTGGAGTCACTAACTAGAGTGTAAAGGCCAATCCCCAAGATTAAGACAGTAGGTAATATCTGCAGCAATAAACCTCAAGAGCTCGAAATATTGACATGACAAAGAATAAGAAAGAAGAGAGGGAGGAGGGGAAAAGAGAAGGAGAAGAGGAATTTCTCACAAATTTTGATATGTACTTAAAAATCACCTACCAGGTCATAGAGTATTCGAGTCAGATAGTTGATAGCACGAGTCACTATCAGTTCTAGGTCTTCAATAACATCAGCCATTGATGACAATGAGCTTCAAATTGAAAGCCTTCCTGGTTTTACTCAGGCAACTATGCTGTAAAAATTACAATAAACATTTTAGTAATACAGTGGAACCTTGCTTAACGAGCATAATTAGTTCCAGAATCATACTCATTAAGCGAAACAATCATTATGCAAAGCAATTTTTCTCATATAAATCTATGTAAAATACGATAATGCGTTCAATGTTGAGAAAAACATTCACAAAATGCTATGTATAAGTTATACTATAACATTTATTCAAAGAAAATTATATACATATTTAAGGAGAGTGAATCATCTACATCTTTTCTTCAAATGCGGAGCGAACCCACATGGAATGCGAATTCGATTTGCAGAAAAAAAAAGTCAAAATAATTATGTTACATAGCTAATTATTTTTTACTAGAAAGATGTCCAGAAACATTTGTTTTTGTCGACGCTTCAAAATTTGGCAAAAATGCGACACAGCATTATCATTAAATTTGCAGCGCGCATAGCCACTTCCTTATTAAGGTGATGCTTCTCAATGTGAGAAGCAACAGTTTCAAATGCTTTCAGCATTTTTCTTATTTCGCCATAAGATTGCTGCTTTTCTGTTACCTTCTCCTCCTCCTCTGACAAACATTCCTCCAAAACGTCTTGCTGTGAAACACAATGCAACTCAATAAGCTCATCAGTGGCACACTTGCACCCCTTGAAATAATGGACTGTCAGGTCAGCTGTGGATTTCCCACGGGAATTTCATGTTTGGGGTACGTTATAAATTAAGAACCAGATATTCTGAGAATCTTTCTATAGCTTTTCAGCTCAAAAGACCCTATTCTCTTTCTTAAGGACTGGGAGATAGTTCACGACTCACATCCGTATGTCGCTACAGGGAAGATGCATGCTCTCAAAATTCTAATTTTGATCTCCATAGACTCCATTTTAAGGCTGTTCAATCTTTGCATTGCTATGGCCATCCTCCTTTTAACTTCTGTCAAACAGTCTCCATTGCTATTTATTATAGAGCCCAGATATTCAAAGTTTGTGACATTTTCAATTTCTTTACCATTTATTGTTATTTTTGGGTGACAGCCAGTTTGATCTGTGGACATTATTTTCATTTTCTTTAAATTCAAGAACATATTTTGATCTACACTGTGCTTTTGGACAGACAATTTTTGAATTTTCTATTCCCTTTACGCTGTTCAAAAGGAGGACTGTGTCATCTGGGTAGCGAAGTTCCAGAATAGGGTTGCCACTAATTTTGAGCAGATCATAAATGTCACAAGTCTGGTAATTTTTGACATTTCTCAATATATTTTGTGCATATATATTGAATAAGTATGGTGAGAGAATGCCCCTGTCTCACTCCTATCTGTACTTCGAACCAATCCGATGTTTCACCAGCTACTCTGATAGCAGCTTGTTGTTCTTGATAAAAATTTTCAATTAAATGCATAAAATGCGCTGGAAACCCCATAATTCTCATAACAGTTCACAGTTTCTGATGTTGGACACAATCGAATGCCTTGCTATAACCAATGAAACAAGCATAAAACATGAGACTTGATGACGATATGCAGCGATCATTATTTTCATTTTATGTTGTATTCTCTGCATTTTTCAAAAATTATTCTATATTAAAGATGTGATCCCTAGTTCCTCTACCCTGCCTGAAACCTGCTTGTGCAGGTGTGGGTTAGGGTTTGCGTTGCGGTTAGTGTCGCCACATATCGTCTTCGCAGAAACTCATCGTAGCAACCCAAACCCTAACCCACAACCTAACCCCTACCCCTAACCCAAACCGTATGATGACAGTAGGGCACTGAACGCTGTCTATCGCCATCTCACAGTATTTATGTCACTTGTGTCCTTCCCTCTAATCCACTCCGTACTGCGGTAATTGAACGCGGTTGCTAACTTGAGTCGCAGCGCGGGTTCTGCCAGGCATTTCGACCTCACTGTGTTTTTTTATTCGTGCCTTCTCCAGTCCATAATTGCACTGCAGCCAGGGGACAGAACTCTGACTAACCGACCGTCAACTGTTGTCTACCAGCTGTAGTTTACAGGAGAGCCGAACTTTCATTTATTAAACTGAAACAAGTGTGTAGTTGGATTGTACCAAATAATCAATTACCGTAATTGTTTTGTTGACAGTCAGTACTGTACAACTGACCTAGAACATATGTGAGTCTTTGAGCTTCTTCGAACTACATTTAAGTTTATTATATGAGACTTGATGACGATATGCAGCGATCATTATTTTCATTTTGAACATACCTAATCAGTCGTAACACTAGACTCACACAACTCAATTAGAGTCAATTCAATTCGATGTTCACTAAAGAAGTGTGAAGTCAAGAATGAAGAATGACAAACAACAACAAAAATGATTTTGAATAATTTCTATTTCAACTTTAATTTTGTTAACTAATTTGAGTAATTTAGTAGATATTTAGCGGTTAAGCAGAATAAATGAATCTCAAAAAAATACCTGAAGCTAACTATGCAAAATGTAAACATTATTGTTACCCTGAAAGGCTCAGAATGGACCGACAGTTCGTACTTTGTGCGTCATTCCAACAACTTATTTCCACCAACATTGCTTTTCGCCATTGTCACTTTGAAATTTCCTGCCTTCGCATTTTCCCGAAAGGAGTGCGGACGACCGAAAATCTCCGTAAAGAACTATTATAATGAAACAATTCTACGAAAAAGATATGATGTAATAACACATTTGAATTATAATTGTTTATTTTAAAGAACAATATTAACGAAAAACATCACTATATGATATCAGCCCTAATTTTAAGACAGAAGGTGTTAACAGAATAATGTTTAAAATACTAATATATTTAAGATATCTTAAATATCCACTTTTCTACACTTCCTCTTTTACTTTCACCGCTTTTGGTGTCGGGTGGGGGGGGGGGGTATCTGATCTGCTTCTGCTTCTTGCTCTTCAGGCCGTATCGACCATAGAAACATTGTACTGTTGTAAAGTTTCTCTGATGTTATCTTTCCATCTTGTTCTTGGTCTACCCTGTGCCCTAGTCCTTCTAATTTAGTAATTGCCGTAAATGCTATAGCGTCACAACGCATGCTCGCTAAGTAGGCAAATCATTTAATTTGCTGTCTTTATATCAATTTAAAATTGGTTCTGTCCCAAATGTTTCCTTTTATTACCAGACGCTCGCCTGTAAGTACAAAGTCTTGGGTTCAAATCCGCAACCTGACTGGTTTTTTTTTTTTTTTTTTCTGTAAAATTGCTCTTTGCGTTCAAGTTCACCCAAACTAAAACGGGAATCGGGTAATGTCCTGGGATAAAGGCGGTGGGCGTGATGTTGACCACAGCACCCACAAAGTGCCAGTTGGTCCTCGCATCATTTGACCGGGAGCCGCCGCGGTGCAGTGACTAGACGCTCGCCTGCGAATCGGAACGTAGTGGGTTAAGGAGCCGACGGGGCTGGACTTTTTTTTCCCTTCAAAAATGACCTTGGCTCGCATGTCGACACAACCTTGAATGGGTACCAGTATTGTCATTAGAAGCAAAGTCGGTATTAACCACATCATCTACCGAGTACCTATTGGTCTATAAAATACCGTCTAGCCCTATATGACCTCAACGCCTCCTAAAGGCTTGCAGAAGGGTCCCTTATTTACTTCTTCTTAATTATAATTTACTCTATGTTGTAAATCGGGCCCCTTAGTCGTTTACTTACTTCATTTAATTTCTCTTGGCTCGAATGCAATGGAGATCGGGTCGCCCAATGGCTCGCCGATAGACGACTTCGTCATTGGTCGGGACAGTATTTGCGTCTGTCTCATTTGATCGCTTCAACTGTACTGGAGTTCTTTTCGTGGCTCTTGGTCGCCTGCAGTGCTAAGCCATTTTACATGGGGACATAACCTAGTCACAGTTAAAACCTAAAGCTTCCCATTCGAGGATGCTGGTTGAGCGTGACAATTTAAGCAGCGGAATGGCTCGAAGGCATACAGCACTTACATGGCACAGGTAATTAACCTTTACGTCCTTTTTAGGATGGAATTTGTTGTTATTTGAAGCCCAACCCTGGCTTTTGCCAGGGGCCGCAATATAGGCAGGCCATAGATATGGCCAATTGTCTGAACGCGGTTTCTGGGACCTCTCCACTGTGATCCTCATCCACATGGTGGCACTTGTGTCTTCGGGTGTTTATCGCTTGTGTGATGTCCTAGTGGGGTAGAAAGTCAGTCAGTCAGTCGAAGGCAGAGCTAGAGTAATCCTAATTCTTGGAGCCAGTGGGTAATATTATAGTGTTGCAACGTGTGTATCGATTAAACTTTCTGGTTTAGCGTAAAGCCGCCCACACTGGACAGTAGTCTACTTGATAAGCGTCGGGTGTCCCAATATAACTGTCTTAAATTGTTAACAATTTCTTGAGGCCTCGGAGATGTGGTTTTACAGAAGAATGCTTAGAATACCTTGGACAGCCAAAAAGAGCAACCAAGAGGTTTTGAAAAAAGCGGGAGCCCGAAGACAACTTATCACAGACATCAGAGGGAGACAGTCGTCATTTTTCGGCCATGTTATGAGAAGAGGGAAAATAGAACATGATGTGACCAGTGGAAAGATCTGTGGAAACAGGGATAGAGGAAGACAAGAGATAAGATTCTTGACAGTCTTGTTGCATGGCATGGAGGTGTGTCGGCACACGAACTGATACATGCTGCAGGAGATCGCAGATTGTGGAGAGGCATGATCGCCTAGGCCAGTCGGCAAGGCACTTGATGATGATGATGGTTAAAATGAGCTTCTGTGATATTCTTCTGTTGCATTCACGCCTTCTTCTTCTTCTTCGATCCTTCTGTCAGAAAACTTATATCAGGAAGCCGGCAGCCTTTATGAAAGCTATCGTGCAATCCATATCCTCTCGTGTACCATACAGTTTTGTCTTCAGTGTGGTTGGAACAGGCCAGATTGCGTCTCTGTTGTCAGCATACAGTTGACAGTGTTGGAGCACATGCTCAGC